ATTACTCGGTGCATGTGACATCACACCTGCATTACTCGGTGCATGTGACATCACACCTGCATTACTCGGTGCATGTGACATCACACCTGCATTACTCGGTGCATGTGACATCACACCTGCATTACTCGGTGCATGTGACATCACACCTGCATTACTCGGTGCATGTGACATCACACCTGCATTACTCGGTGCATGTGACATCACACCTGCATTACTCGGTGCATGTGACATCACACCTGCATTACTCGGTGCATGTGACATCACACCTGCATTACTCGGTGCATGTGACATCACACCTGCATTACTCGGTGCATGTGACATCACACCTGCATTACTCGGTGCATGTGACATCACACCTGCATTACTCGGTGCATGTGACATCACACCTGCATTACTCGGTGCATGTGACATCACACCTGCATTACTCGGTGCATGTGACATCACACCTGCATTACTCGGTGCATGTGACATCACACCTGCATTACTCGGTGCATGTGACATCACACCTGCATTACTCGGTGCATGTGACATCACACCTGCATTACTCGGTGCATGTGACATCACACCTGCATTACTCGGTGCATGTGACATCACACCTGCATTACTCGGTGCATGTGACATCACACCTGCATTACTCGGTGCATGTGACATCACACCTGCATTACTCGGTGCATGTGACATCACACCTGCATTACTCGGTGCATGTGACATCACACCTGCATTACTCGGTGCATGTGACATCACACCTGCATTACTCGGTGCATGTGACATCACACCTGCATTACTCGGTGCATGTGACATCACACCTGCATTACTCGGTGCATGTGACATCACACCTGCATTACTCGGTGCATGTGACATCACACCTGCATTACTCGGTGCATGTGACATCACACCTGCATTACTCGGTGCATGTGACATCACACCTGCATTACTCGGTGCATGTGACATCACACCTGCATTACTCGGTGCATGTGACATCACACCTGCATTACTCGGTGCATGTGACATCACACCTGCATTACTCGGTGCATGTGACATCACACCTGCATTACTCGGTGCATGTGACATCACACCTGCATTACTCGGTGCATGTGACATCACACCTGCATTACTCGGTGCATGTGACATCACACCTGCATTACTCGGTGCATGTGACATCACACCTGCATTACTCGGTGCATGTGACATCACACCTGCATTACTCGGTGCATGTGACATCACACCTGCATTACTCGGTGCATGTGACATCACACCTGCATTACTCGGTGCATGTGACATCACACCTGCATTACTCGGTGCATGTGACATCACACCTGCATTACTCGGTGCATGTGACATCACACCTGCATTACTCGGTGCATGTGACATCACACCTGCATTACTCGGTGCATGTGACATCACACCTGCATTACTCGGTGCATGTGACATCACACCTGCATTACTCGGTGCATGTGACATCACACCTGCATTACTCGGTGCATGTGACATCACACCTGCATTACTCGGTGCATGTGACATCACACCTGCATTACTCGGTGCATGTGACATCACACCTGCATTACTCGGTGCATGTGACATCACACCTGCATTACTCGGTGCATGTGACATCACACCTGCATTACTCGGTGCATGTGACATCACACCTGCATTACTCGGTGCATGTGACATCACACCTGCATTACTCGGTGCATGTGACATCACACCTGCATTACTCGGTGCATGTGACATCACACCTGCATTACTCGGTGCATGTGACATCACACCTGCATTACTCGGTGCATGTGACATCACACCTGCATTACTCGGTGCATGTGACATCACACCTGCATTACTCGGTGCATGTGACATCACACCTGCATTACTCGGTGCATGTGACATCACACCTGCATTACTCGGTGCATGTGACATCACACCTGCATTACTCGGTGCATGTGACATCACACCTGCATTACTCGGTGCATGTGACATCACACCTGCATTACTCGGTGCATGTGACATCACACCTGCATTACTCGGTGCATGTGACATCACACCTGCATTACTCGGTGCATGTGACATCACACCTGCATTACTCGGTGCATGTGACATCACACCTGCATTACTCGGTGCATGTGACATCACACCTGCATTACTCGGTGCATGTGACATCACACCTGCATTACTCGGTGCATGTGACATCACACCTGCATTACTCGGTGCATGTGACATCACACCTGCATTACTCGGTGCATGTGACATCACACCTGCATTACTCGGTGCATGTGACATCACACCTGCATTACTCGGTGCATGTGACATCACACCTGCATTACTCGGTGCATGTGACATCACACCTGCATTACTCGGTGCATGTGACATCACACCTGCATTACTCGGTGCATGTGACATCACACCTGCATTACTCGGTGCATGTGACATCACACCTGCATTACTCGGTGCATGTGACATCACACCTGCATTACTCGGTGCATGTGACATCACACCTGCATTACTCGGTGCATGTGACATCACACCTGCATTACTCGGTGCATGTGACATCACACCTGCATTACTCGGTGCATGTGACATCACACCTGCATTACTCGGTGCATGTGACATCACACCTGCATTACTCGGTGCATGTGACATCACACCTGCATTACTCGGTGCATGTGACATCACACCTGCATTACTCGGTGCATGTGACATCACACCTGCATTACTCGGTGCATGTGACATCACACCTGCATTACTCGGTGCATGTGACATCACACCTGCATTACTCGGTGCATGTGACATCACACCTGCATTACTCGGTGCATGTGACATCACACCTGCATTACTCGGTGCATGTGACATCACACCTGCATTACTCGGTGCATGTGACATCACACCTGCATTACTCGGTGCATGTGACATCACACCTGCATTACTCGGTGCATGTGACATCACACCTGCATTACTCGGTGCATGTGACATCACACCTGCATTACTCGGTGCATGTGACATCACACCTGCATTACTCGGTGCATGTGACATCACACCTGCATTACTCGGTGCATGTGACATCACACCTGCATTACTCGGTGCATGTGACATCACACCTGCATTACTCGGTGCATGTGACATCACACCTGCATTACTCGGTGCATGTGACATCACACCTGCATTACTCGGTGCATGTGACATCACACCTGCATTACTCGGTGCATGTGACATCACACCTGCATTACTCGGTGCATGTGACATCACACCTGCATTACTCGGTGCATGTGACATCACACCTGCATTACTCGGTGCATGTGACATCACACCTGCATTACTCGGTGCATGTGACATCACACCTGCATTACTCGGTGCATGTGACATCACACCTGCATTACTCGGTGCATGTGACATCACACCTGCATTACTCGGTGCATGTGACATCACACCTGCATTACTCGGTGCATGTGACATCACACCTGCATTACTCGGTGCATGTGACATCACACCTGCATTACTCGGTGCATGTGACATCACACCTGCATTACTCGGTGCATGTGACATCACACCTGCATTACTCGGTGCATGTGACATCACACCTGCATTACTCGGTGCATGTGACATCACACCTGCATTACTCGGTGCATGTGACATCACACCTGCATTACTCGGTGCATGTGACATCACACCTGCATTACTCGGTGCATGTGACATCACACCTGCATTACTCGGTGCATGTGACATCACACCTGCATTACTCGGTGCATGTGACATCACACCTGCATTACTCGGTGCATGTGACATCACACCTGCATTACTCGGTGCATGTGACATCACACCTGCATTACTCGGTGCATGTGACATCACACCTGCATTACTCGGTGCATGTGACATCACACCTGCATTACTCGGTGCATGTGACATCACACCTGCATTACTCGGTGCATGTGACATCACACCTGCATTACTCGGTGCATGTGACATCACACCTGCATTACTCGGTGCATGTGACATCACACCTGCATTACTCGGTGCATGTGACATCACACCTGCATTACTCGGTGCATGTGACATCACACCTGCATTACTCGGTGCATGTGACATCACACCTGCATTACTCGGTGCATGTGACATCACACCTGCATTACTCGGTGCATGTGACATCACACCTGCATTACTCGGTGCATGTGACATCACACCTGCATTACTCGGTGCATGTGACATCACACCTGCATTACTCGGTGCATGTGACATCACACCTGCATTACTCGGTGCATGTGACATCACACCTGCATTACTCGGTGCATGTGACATCACACCTGCATTACTCGGTGCATGTGACATCACACCTGCATTACTCGGTGCATGTGACATCACACCTGCATTACTCGGTGCATGTGACATCACACCTGCATTACTCGGTGCATGTGACATCACACCTGCATTACTCGGTGCATGTGACATCACACCTGCATTACTCGGTGCATGTGACATCACACCTGCATTACTCGGTGCATGTGACATCACACCTGCATTACTCGGTGCATGTGACATCACACCTGCATTACTCGGTGCATGTGACATCACACCTGCATTACTCGGTGCATGTGACATCACACCTGCATTACTCGGTGCATGTGACATCACACCTGCATTACTCGGTGCATGTGACATCACACCTGCATTACTCGGTGCATGTGACATCACACCTGCATTACTCGGTGCATGTGACATCACACCTGCATTACTCGGTGCATGTGACATCACACCTGCATTACTCGGTGCATGTGACATCACACCTGCATTACTCGGTGCATGTGACATCACACCTGCATTACTCGGTGCATGTGACATCACACCTGCATTACTCGGTGCATGTGACATCACACCTGCATTACTCGGTGCATGTGACATCACACCTGCATTACTCGGTGCATGTGACATCACACCTGCATTACTCGGTGCATGTGACATCACACCTGCACAAGTCCCTTAGTCACCTGCATGACCCACACCAGCACAACGCTCCACGGTCACCTCACCTGCAGGAACAGGTTCAGCTTGGCAGAAATGAGGGGCAGCGTGTGGTCGCGCGTGGCGGTGCGCGACAGCACCACGTGCTCAAACCGCCCCTCCACTGGAATGGCCGTCAGCGCCACCGGGGGGAGGTCCTCGCAGCTGCCGTGTATCATGTGCCATGTGCCATGTGCCATGTGCCATGTGCCATGTGATAAGTGCCATGTGCCATGCAATAAGTGCCGTTTGCCATGTGCCATGTGTCATGTGTCGTTTGCCATGTGCCATGTGTCGTTTGCCATGTGCCATGTGCCATGTGTCATGTGTGAGGACGAGGAGAGGGGAAAGACATGGAAGGAAGTGGGAGGGTGAGATGTGGATTGGATGGGAGTGGGAGGGTACGAGGTGGATGGAGATAGGAGGGGAATGGGAACGGGCTGCAGTGGCCGAGTGCTCAAATGGGCTGCAGTGAGTTTTGAGACGTCTCAAATCTGCAGTGGCCGAGTGCTCAAACGGGCTGGGGGAAGAAAGCTGAGCCATGTGGTCCGCACACCTGCAGGCTACAGGCGTGTGTGGAGCATGTGGTAGGCTCACCTGCGGGGACGAGTGTGGACTTTTGAGGCGCCTCAAATGTGGTAGGCTCACCTGCAGGGACATGCGTGGAGCATGTGGTAAGTCACTCACCTGCAGCGCTGTGTGTAGAGCATGTGGTAGAGGCGGCCGGGGGCATAGAGCCTTCTGGGGTCCGCCAGTCTCTTCTGCTCCGGCACACACGTGTCGTGGCAGCATGAGTACTGCAGCACACATGGTAGACTGTGTGCGGAGGGATGGGGGAGGAGAGGGGGGAGAATGTGAGGGAACTTTTGAGTCGACTCTAAAGGGATCCGCCAGTCTCCTCTGCTCCGGCACACACGTGTCGTGGCAGCATGAGTACTGCAGCACACACGGCAGACTGTGTGCAGAGGGATAGTGGGGGAGGGGGGGGAGAATGTAAGGGAGGGAGAGCTAATGAGATGGAGGAGGGGTAATGAGACGGAGGGATGAAAAGAGGAGAAACAAGAGCGAGGGAGGGGTAACGAGAGGAGGGAAAACGAGAGGGGGACAAGGGGTGAGCAAGGTTCCAATGTGCTACGACGCAGCAGCCAGAGGAGACTGTGGGCGGGATCGCGTATCGGAAGGTGGGAGCGGAATGGGAGGAGGGGGAAGGCGAGAGTGGAGAGGGTGGAGGGGAAGGTAGTGGACAGGCTGGGAGGGAGGCGATGAGGCAGGGAACAATAGGATGCAATGGGCCAGGGCGGGAGGGGGAGGTGGGGGGGGGGAGGAGGAGGAGGAGGAGGAGGAGGAGGAGGAGGAGGAGGAGGAGGAGGAGGAGGAGGAGGAGGAGGAGGAGGAGGAGGAGTAGGAGGAGGAGGAGGAGGAGGAGGAGGAGGAGGAGGAGGAGGAGGAGGAGGAGGAGGAGGAGGAGGAGGAGGAGGAGGAGGGAGGGAGAGTATGGGTGTGCAACAACCCGCTCATACTACTGAGAAAACGAATATATGAAAAAAAAAGAGCCAGAAGAAGAAATGCACGGTGGTTGAGGGGCCGGGCCGAGGGGTGCTCTGCTCACCAGAAGGTGACTCCAAATACTAGAGCGAGTGGGTGTGCCACACGGGGCAGAAAGTCATCCTGGTGTGTGCATGCATGCACATGTACATGTCCATGCATGAATGAGCACATATGCATGCATGAATGAGCACATATGCATGCATGAATGGGCACATATGCATGCATGAATGAGCACATATGCATGCATGCACGAATGCACACAGCGAGAAGTGAAAAGAGAAGGGAGAAGAGGAATTGGGGTTGTGGCAAGGATTGGCCGGAAGCAGCACAAGGAGAGGAGGACACAGATAGAGTTCTCGGAGAGGCTTCACAGCAGGAGAGAGGGAGGCCACACAGCAGGAGGGAGGGGGAACACACACTAGGAGGACAAACAAGCCTGCAGCACAGCACGGCCCACCTGTGGTACAACGGGCATGATGATATCTGCTGGCGCTCTCCCAGCACTAGCATGCACTTTCCCCCTCCTCCTCCCCCCGACACACTCTTGCGCCTTCTCCATTAACATGCCCAGCATGCACCCACCCGCAGCACCACCCGACCCACCCGCAGCACCACCCGACCCACCCGCAGCACCACCCGACCCACCTGCAGCACCACCCGACCCACCTGCAGCACCACCCGACCCACCCGCAGCACCTGCAGCACAACGGACGTGATGACACCCGCATGGTGCACTCCCAGCACTAGCATGCACTCCTCCGTCCTCCCCCCGACCGACACACCTCACGCCTGCTCCAAGAGCCAGCCCAGCCCAGCATGGCCCCTGGGTGATACACTCCCAGCGCCAGCATCCACTCTCCTTCATACATGCCCCAAGAGCCAGCCCAGCCCAGCCCGACATGCACCCACCTGCAGCACGACCGAGGTGATGATATCCGCGTGGCGCACAGCCAGGTTCAGCGACGCGCAGCGTGGAGGAGAGAACCCCACGCAGCGGATGCGCCCTCTGCGCACGCGGCCCAGCTCGCGCAGGTTGTTGGCCAGCACCATGGCTGCCAGCGCCAGCACGCCCGCGCCTATGGAGTGGCCCGTGAGTGTGAGCGTGTGCGAGGGGTGGCGGCGCAGGAGGCGCTTGAGGTGGTCCATCTCGAGATCCAGGAACGCGCCCGCTGCTGCTAGCAGCCCGCAGTGTACGTAGCCCCCGTCAAACATCTGCGGGGGCAGATGTATAGAGGGGCGGGGGAGTGGGCGAGCAGGAGGCGCTTGAGGTGGTCCATCTCGAGATCCAGAAACGCGCCCGCTGCTGCAAGTAAACCGCAGTGCACGTAACCGCCATCGAACTTCTTGGGGGGCACAGCGAGAGGAGGGAGAGGAGGGCAAACGGGAGAGTGGGGAGCAGGAATGGGGAAAGAAAGGGAATGGGGGAGGGGGGAGAGGGGGAAGGGGGAGAGGGGGATGGGCGAGATGGGGAAGGGGGGGATGGGGTGGGCAAGGGGAGTGGCCGGTGGGTGTGAGTGTGTGCTAGGGGTGGCGGCGCAGGAGGCGTTTCAGGTGGTCCATTTCGAGATCCAGAAACGCGCCTGCTGCGGCGAGTACGTAACATCTGGAGGGTAAGGGGGAGAACTGGGGAAGGGAGGGAGTGCGGGAGGGGGAGAGGGGAAGGGGGAGGGGGGCAAGGGGAGGAGGGAAGCGGGAGAGCGGGTGGAGGAGGGGGAAGTCACGGCTGAGCTCTGTACTGACCTTCTGGACAATGAGGGGGGCAGTGGACGATGGAGTGGGGAGGGAGATTGAATGCAGGAAGGCAGATTAAAAAGGCAAAGCATGGAAAAAAAAAAGAGAAAAACAACAACACGAGAGCGGCAATGGACAGAAGGTAGTGGGAAGCGGAGAGCGGACTGGCAGAACGCGGACCTGCTTGCTCTTGCGGTTGTTCCGGAGGATCCCATAGTCCGACAGCTGCGTCAGGTTCAAGTGTACTTTGAGTTGACTCAAAATACACCTGGACAAGCGGGGAGCGTTCGTGAGGACGCACGGACCTGCTTGCCCTTGCGGTTGTTCCTGAGGATGGCATAGTCCGACACTTGAGTCAGGTTCATGCCGCGCATGGCGACGGTGATGTCTTTATTCGCCTCGTCCAGGTACACTAGGTACGACGGGCACTGCCCCTCCGTCTCCCGCTGCTCCACCTTCCGCAGCACGCGCGCCTCAATCACTTCCCGCTTTCCTTTCGGCTGTCCGTCCTTGCCGTTGGATTCGGAATCAGGGTGCTTTTCCTTCGCCGATTGCGCGTGCGTGGCGTCAGAGTCGCTTTGTTTGGATGGTTTCCCGGCAGCGGCAGCGTCGGTCTGCGGGGAGATGTTTCCGTGATCGTCGGAAACGGACTCTAGGAGCTGCAGGCACTTAAGTAAGTCGGGTTCGTAGGACGCGAGAATGAGCGTCGCGAGGCGCGGAAAGTCCGCCATTTCGTCCTTCGACGCGGCGGGCCAGTCGCGGCTGGCGTCCGCGCCCTTGCGGACGAGGCGGTGCACGGCCCACCCGCAGCACGCGCATCCCCACACCGCCAAACAGCATGGCAGCATTGTGGCAGCTGCTGTGGCGTCGACGAGAAACGGCGAGTGTGTGGCTTGGTAATGGGTGCACGTGAAGTGAGTTTGGCTTGAGACTACTCAGAATGAACCTCTTTCCACGAATGTGTGGGTTGTTACTGTATTCTTTTTAGCTACGCGACCCGCGTAACATGCACACCCAGCAGCGCGAAGCAGTAGAGGGTATCATTCTGTCGCGTACGGAAACGTGGAAGAAAAGGTAACATGTATAGGATCTACGGTGTTATGACAGGACTGCGAAATGTCCATGCCTCACATTGGCATGCGTTGCTGCTTCACAAAATCGCGCTGACTCCTAAGTCGCTCAATCTTAATGCCGTCCAAGGAACTGTACAACAAAGAGCCCAAGGAGCAGAAGGAACGCAAGGATCGGGTCGGGACTCAACAAAGACTCTACTCCACCAACCTCAAAACACATTTCTGGGTTCACATTTGGGGTGGGATGGGAGGGAGCACCCATTTTTGTACAACCCTGTCATCGTAACACAGTATGGAGCAGCAGAGGCGATCTTCCCAAGAAATCCTGGCGCTGCGCGGCAGTCCCAAGAAGGACGTGCAGGTTAGGACGGATTGTGTCAACGTCAAGACTTTCAAGTCCCCAGCCTTAGAAGACTTGACATTGCCAGGACTCCACTTGTGAGAAAATGGTACGTATTCGAGACAAGTACAGCTGAGGGTTTACAAGTAGCCAACTTCATGAATTACATTACATGTACATGTATTGTCCCTCTTTCACTGCATTCTCAGCACCTCTCCGTTCTTCCTCCTCTTCCTTCTCTCGCTCCTTGCGCCTCTCGTAAGCATGGTCGTCTGTTGGCATCTCGTAACGACACAGAGGACACGAGTTGTGCTCATCCTGTTCGGAACAAAGAGCACAAACACAACACCTCGAATCACATTACGCCCGGTAGGTTACTCACCAAAGACAAAAGATACAATGCAAGTGAAGGATGTGACGTGAGCAGATAAAATGCGATACTTATCAGGGAACGTTGCAGGTGAGATGTCCGCATCACACAAGCTCGAGCTTTTCAACTCACCAGCCATGGTTGCAGGCAGTCCACATGAAAACGATGGCTGCATGGCATTTCCCTCAGCTTGTCACCAATCTCCCACTTCTCCCTGCACACACTGCACTCGTCCACACTCCCCTCCCCCACCTCCATCTTCCCCTCCCCATCCACCCTCTCCCCTCCCAAACCAACACTATCCCCCTCCTCAGTTTTCCCACCACTGCTGCTGCTGCCAGCACTACCACTAACACCACTACCCGCCACACCCCCTTCTCGCGCCCCATCCCCCACCAACGGCACCACGCCAGCCTCACTGTACACAAGCACAGGCAGCTGCTTCACGGCTCTCTTAGAGGCAGGCGGGGCGCCAGGTGGCTGAGACGCCTGCATGCTGGCTTCGAGAGCCTCGGCCAGGCCGGGAGTCAGCAGGTCATCAGCTCCCCCTCTTGCTATTGCATCCCGTAGCAGATCCTCCAACGTTGTTCCGCCCTGCAGGAGCGCTGCAATGGCTTGATGAGGGGTTTGTCCTTCCTGCGGATCTCTGTCTTCCCGTTCAGGATTGCTGTCACCATTGCTATCAGCAGCAACAGCATCCAGGTCCCTGTGTGTGCACGCGCACATGGATAAGGACAGGATAGCGTACGTCTGCATCAGATCGGACCAGCTAAAGCCCCGAGACAACAACATGTGACAGAGCCTCCAATCAAGGCCAGTAACAAGTATGGAACTCACAAAACACGCCTCACAGCGAGCAGTTGACAACAATCAACCAGCCGACCAGCAATCAAGAGGCCACACGCTCGCGCACTCACTCACCTCTGCTGCTGCGCCGCTGCCAGAGTTGTCAGCAGCGTCTGAGCCACCAGCCAATCAGGCCGTGGCGGCTCTGCTGCTGCTGTCACCTGACCCTCAAACTGAAAGGAAGGAGACGCGGCAGAAAGCATGCCTACCCCACCTCCTCTCACTTCTCTTGCCCTCCCTGCTCCCTGCACCCCTTCCCCATCCCCTCGTCCCCCGCTTACTCCTTGCGACAAATCTTCTTCTCCGCCTTCCCCCCCTCCCCCGCCTTCCCCCAGAAACTCCTGCGCGGACTTGATGTGCTGCTGGACGCGGTTCCGATTCGCTCCCTCCCCCAACACAGCGCTGGCCGCGCGGAAAAGCACGAGACCCGCCGCCCAGAAGCCACGCGCCGTGTAGCGAGTCTTAAGGAGAGTAGCTGCGCGATGGACGGCCGCGATCATCTGAAGGGTCAAAAGCGGATCGTAAGGAAAGGTATGTTGACAGTAGTATAAGAGACGTTACGTACAAATGTTATAAACACTGAGGCAACCGCCTAACAGCACCGCTACCCTGCACCCTGGTGTAATACGATTTCTCTGCGATTCTATACCAATCATGCGACCATGATCCACCACGTGCGACGATCTGTGCGAATTTCAACTCTTGAAACATGCGACGGCGACCTCACCTTCTGCTGCTCGTCCAAAGAGGAGGAAGGGTACTGCGCGGCAATAAGAGCTGCCAGGTCCTTCACCGCTTTCTCGAACGAGCTCTTCTTCGCCATGAGCTTCGCTAGGTCATTCGCTGTAATCGCATCGCAACCAGGCGAAGTCTGCCGGCTGCTACTCGCCACGCACGCGGACGCCATGTCAGTCAAAGGTATGAGCTTCTGCAGACAGCATGCGTTCGGATGCGCTCTGTATAGGTTCGTCGAGTCCGAAACACGCAACAAACAGGGGTGGGTAATTCAAGTTCGGTGCGGCGATACGGGAAAGCTCCCTGACGTCAGCGATAGGTGCTTCTGGGAAATTAGTCAGGCCTAGAAGCTTTCTGGGTAGATGTCCGGCCACAACTTCACATAGCGTGTGGCGGTTTAAGGTATAAGGTCTACATGAAAATACAGAAAATCCCAGGTTATGTACGGTGGATCAGTGGTGCTACTTATTGATCGACCCTCTGGAACGGCAACCCCCGAGTCCCGACAACCACGTGCGTCAAGCCCACTTTAGGCTGTTTTAGCGAGATTCATTGCAACAACCCATGTTTTTTATCCCTAAATATTGCATCCGGAAATACTACAAATGTTTAAATCGTACACATACCCCTATTTTTTTCATGATTTTTAGACTGTACCCATGCTCCACTATACGAGGCATTATGGTACTCCTTAAGCATGTAATTTCATAGATGGTGATTTATATGCGATCGGGCTAGAGATCATTACTATGGTGAGGCAGACCATGCGCCACAACAAAATGCATATACGATATAATGAAGTGTAAAATGTACAATTGGTACTATAATTGTTTTTTGTTGTTATTGTTGTTGATCTTTTTTTTCCTTCTTAGATAATGGCTTTGCCTGGCACTACTCCGTTCCCTCGTGTCCGTATCTAATGCAAGTATTGTTTTTTCACATTATTTACTGGGGTTGCGGCCTCCTGCCACATTGTTGCTTGTAAGGCAGCATATGCCCAGCGCCGGGCTCAAGCCCTTCGTTCCTTTCCGAACCTGAGCGACTGATCCGGTGCCTTCGTGGGATATTAGCAAAGACGTGTGGACGTTGGTGCCTTTGTAGGACTGGGAGACTTTCTCTAGTATCAATTTCGTGCTAAGCGAGCTCCTTTGTCATGTCCCACAACTTTCAAGATTGGGTGGGCACGATGCGTTGTGCTGCATTCTCAAGCGGCTCAAGGCGTTCCTAGGGGATGTGGAGGCAACACTAATCTTCATGGCTTCCCACGCCTCATGCTGGGGGTGCCAGCTACGGAAAGCGTCGGTCGGAGGGCAGCCATAGTGGAACGCTTGGGGAAGTTTTGGGAAGGGCAGTGGCGATACTTGTTCGACGTTGCCACTGTTGCGTTGACCCCTGCGAAGCGACCTTCTGCCTTCTCCCTACCTAAGCAAGACACAGATGCCATTCTTTTGGTTCGGTGTCGCACGAGGTGCCAGGTGGGGTAGTGGAGCCAGGGGCTTGCTTGTCTTACAACGAACGACCTGGCGCGGCCCTCTCAGCTAACAGTGGACCCGCTGTAAGCGAAGCACCGTGCCAGTGAGGTGAAAATTCCTGAGTGGGTCTAACATTTCAGCATCGACAATTCCCACCTCCCACACTTCACTTTAGACATCCTCACTCATGCTATTCAGTTGGCAGCATGAGCCTCAGCACCTGGGCCTTCTGGACGGATGATCGGGCACATCAGAGACACATTCCTCTCAAAGCCTTCCTACCTCCCGCATTTGTTGGAGGTGTTCCAGCAGTGGAGTTCAAGATGCGTGACCAAGCGGGTGCGACCATGGCTTGCAGCCTCAAACCTAGTTGAATTGTCCAAGCCGAACAGAGATGTCCACCTGGTGGCCATTGGAGAGGTGCTCTCTCAAATTCTAGTGCGGGCGTTGTGTATTCTTATGTATCCCAATATCGAGTCATGCTTTGCTCGTTCTAACCAACTGGGGATGGGGACTAGCTTTCTGGTACGAGGTGAACTCTTTTGACTTCAGCACAGCTTTCTTGCAGGGCAGCTTGCACGAGGAGATCTGGTTGTGCCGCCCACCTGGCTTCACTGGGTCGTTTCCTGCAGGTACCCAGTGGAGCCTTCGGCGGCCAGTCTACGGTCTCCGTCACGCGCCCCGCGAGTGGCACGACACACTGAGGACGACCATTGCGGCTCTTAGGTTTGCTCCTTCGACTGCTTACCCGTCGCTGTTTCTGCGCACTGGAACTTCGCTGCCACCGTTCTACATCTTCGTGTACATCGACGACTTGGTCTTTGCCACTGCTAACATTGAGGCACTGGCCCTTGTGAAGTCGGAGCTGCAGAAGAGACACACCTGCACTGACCTGGGTGAGCTGCGCAACTATCTTGGCTTGCAGATCACCCATGACAGAGCACGGCGCACCATCACCCTGACTCAGTCACACATGGTGCACCAGGTCCTTCAACGCTTCGGCTTCCGGTACTCCTCGCCACAGTCCACTCCTCTGCCTATTGGTCACTCGCTCTCAGCTCCACCTTTGGACGAGTCCGTAGAGCCGAGTGGCCCGTATTCAGAGCTTATGGGCTGCCTCATGTATCTGATGACCTGCACTCGATCTGATCTTGCCTACCCTCTTAGCATCCTGGCACGCTACGTTGCGCCCGAGAGACACCGACTAGAGCACTGGGAGGCCGCTAAGAGGGTGTTGCGCTACTTGTGCAGTACGTCGAGCATGGGGCTCGTGCTTGGAGGACGGGGTCCAGTTGTCCTCACTGGACACGCAGACGCTTCTTGGGTTGACGACTTGGCTACGCATGTCAGAGGTCCACCGGTGATCCCCGATTGATCATAGGGAAGGGTTACAGGCTCGTTGTCTTGGGGGGTTATGGGCGCACTGACCCGTTACTTAACAAGCCCTTTTATCACAATGGTATAATGGTTGGGATTTCTGACATGGTATCAGAGCAAAGGTCTCGGGTTCGAATCCCATTGTGTGCACTTCGGGCATCCCAGCGCGGGGGGGTGTCAGAGGTCCACTGGTGATCTCCGATTGATATTAGGGAAGGGTTACAGGCTCGTTGTCCTGGGGGGTTATGGGCGCATTGACCCGCTACTTAACAAGCATTTTTATCCTAATGGTCTAGTGGTTGGGATTTCTGACAACGCAGCGGTCGTCGCTGGGTTACACCTTCAGCCTTGGTTCCGGCTCTATTTCTTGGCGGTCTACCCGCTCGTCTTCTGTTCTCAGTTCCAGTTGTGAGGCTGAGATCTACGCAGGGGCCATGGTTGCACAGGAGTTACGCTGGCTCACCTACCTTCTGACCGACTTGGGAGAGCGGCCTCGTTCTTCTCTAGTTTTGTACGTAGACAACAAGGCCATGATTGCCTTGTGTCAGGAGCACAGACTGGAGCACAGAACGAAGCACATCGCTCTGCGTTACGTCCTTGCTCGACAGTTGCAGCAGCGTGGTCAGCTTCGTCTTGCGTACGTGGCCACTCGGGCCAACACTGCTGATATATTCACCAAGGCACTTCAGTCTGTTGATCATCAGCGTTTCTGCACTGTTTTAGGCCTTGTGCCTACTTTGCCTCACTTGCTCTCTTCATGACTTTGTTTGTACTGTGATCTATATATACATACCTGCATGCTCACACTTGCTAGGTTATGATGACTGTACCGTTTGTTCTCTTTTATATAACTATGCATGTGAACTGGCCTTGTGGCCATTTGCATGTGCTCGGAATGTGTGGTTGTCAAACATATATGCCTAGTTATATCTAGGCTTAGTTTATGTGTTTATAGTTGTCTAGGCTATAGTGGGTTTAGCCTTAGGGGGTACAAAGTTTCTCTCGACATTCTACTTGTACCCCTTCCCTTTTCCTAGTCCACCATTCTCACCTAAGATTCTAACATGGTATTAAGAGCAATTAGTCCTAGGACCTAATGCTAATGGGCCCACCACCTACTGCCCTGCTAGCCTAGGCCCCGGCCCATCGCCCCTTGGCGTCGCCCCTAGCCCCTAGGCTCGGCCCCTTGGCCCCGTCGCCTCGGCCCCGCTGGCCCCTTCGACTTCGTCGCCCGCGCCCGGCCCGTACCTAGCCCGTCGCCCGGCCTGTACCTAGCCCATCGCACGGCCCGTACCTAGCCCGACGCCCGGCCCGTACCTAGCCCGGCGCCCGGCCCCGTCTCCTGCCCGCGCCCGGCCCGTACCTAGCCCGTCGCCCGGCCCGTACCTAGCCCGTCGCCCGGCCCCGTCTCCTGCCCGCGCCCGGCCCGAACCTAGCCTCGCGCCCGGCCCATACCTAGCCCGCGTTCGGCCCCGTTCCTATCCCCGCGCCCGGCCCGTACCTCGCCCGCGCCTGGCCCCGTACCTAGCCCGCGCCCGGCTCGTACCAAGCCCGCGCCTGGCCCCGTCCTTCGCCCAGCGCCCGGCCCCGTCTCTTGCCCGCGCCCGGCCCCGTACCTGCCCAGCGCCCGGCCCCGTACCTGCCCAGCGCCCGGCCCCGTACCTGCCCAGCGCCAGGCCCCGTACCTGCCCAGCGCCCGGCCCCATACCTGCCCAGCGACCGGCCCAGTACCTGCCCAGCGCCTGGCCCCGTACCTGCCCAGCGCCCGGCCCAGTCCCTGCCCAGCGCCTGGCCCCATTCCTGCCCAGCGCCCGGCCACGTACCTGCCCAGCGCCCGGCCCAGTCCCTGCTCAGCGCCTGGCCCCGTACCTGCCTAGCGGCCGGCCCCGTACCTGCCCAGCGCCCGGCCCCGTACCTGCCCAGCGCCCGGCCCCGTCGCCCCTAGCCATGGCCCCGTCGCCCCTAGCCATGGCCCCTCGCGACCTGCCGCCCCTAACCGCGGCCCCGGTGCCCTGTTGCGCCATGGTGGGTGAGGGGGTGGCAAGAGGGGGTTCCTCCTGCCCGCGTGCCCTTCAGTCGCACGCGCAGCTCCGCCCCCGCCCCCCTCCCCCCCCTCCCCCCCCTCCCCCCCCTCCATGGGGATGGCGGGGAGAGGGGGGGGAAGCTTGGAGGTTCAGGGGGAGGCAGGAGGGGATCTGCAGCACCAGGTCCCCCACCCTTCTCCTACCTCCCCCTGCTGCAGGTACAGCAGTGGGGGGGAGGGGATTTGCCATCCCCCTACTGCGGATGCGACAGTGGGGGGAGGGGACCTGCAGCACCAGCCCCCCCCCCCCCCCCCCCCCTCCTCTCCGCCCTTTTCTCCTCTCCCTCCCCCTGCTGCGGGTGCCGCAGTAGGGGGGAAGGGATCTGCCATCCCCCTGCTGCGGATGCAGCAGTGGGGGGAGGGGACCTGCAGCACCAGCCCCTCCCCCCCCTTCTCCTCCACCCTTGCTGCGGGTGCAGCAGTGGGGGGAGGGTATCTGCATCAGCAGTGGGGGGAGGGGATTTGCAGCATCAGCCCCCCCCCCCCCCCCCCCCCCCCCCCCCCCCCTCTCCGCCCTTTTCTCCTCTCTCTCTCCTTGCCGCACTTTGTGTTGGGAGGGGGGGGAGCTTGGAGGTGCAGTGGGGGGGAGGGGATCTGCAGCACCAGCCCCCCCCCCCCCCCCCCCCCCCCCTCCCCCCCTTTTTTCTCCTCCACCCCTGCTGCGGGTGCAGCAGTGGGGGGAGGGGATCTGCAGCAGCAGTGGGGGGAAGGGAGTTGCAGCATCAGCCCCCCCCCCTTTTCTCCTCCACCCTTGCTGCGGGTGCAGCGGTGGGGGGAGGGGATCTGCAGCCCTGTGCTGCCCTGCAGCCCTGCGCGCCCTATGCGCCCTGCTGTCCTGCTGCCCTGCAGCCCTGTGCGCCCTACTGCCCTGCTACTGCCGCTACAGCCCTTGCTGCTGCCCTGCGCGCCCCGCGCGCCCTGCAGCCCTGCTGCGCCCTGCGCGCCCTGCTGCCCTGCTGCCCTGTGCGCGCCCTGCTGCCCTCTGCACGCGCCATGCACAGCCCCCCCCCCCCCCCCCCCCTCCCTTCTTCTTCCTTCCCCTGCTGCAGGTGCAGCAGTGGGGTGGGGGTATGGGGGTGGCGGGTGTGGGTGCAACTGCGGGGTGGCGGGTATGGGGGTGGCGGATGTGTGAACCATCCCCTCCTCCTCCTCCACCTTCGTCTCCCACTGCTGCAGGTGCCGCTGAGGGGGGTGGGTGTGTGGGAGCCGAGGGAGTGGTGCTAGGGGGGTGACGTGGGAGTGGAGCTAGGGGTGCAGCAAGGGGTGTGTGAAAGGGGGGTGGGACAGTTATGGGGGAGGTTGAGCGGAGGTAGCCGTTGTGTCGCCAGCAGCTCCAGTAGTCCGGAGGCTACAATCTCCGGTAGCCCAGCGAGCCTGCTGCGCCAGTCGCCTGTGGGTCCGTTGCTCCTGCCGCTCAGAGTTAGCCGCAGAGCCAGTTACTCCTGTAGTCCGGGGATACGGCCCCGGTAGCCACAGTGCGCGCCGCTCCTGTTGCCAGTGTGTCTGCAGCATCAGCAGTCGCCTCCTATCTCTTCTCCTCTCACAGTCCAACCTCCTCTTCACTTGCCCTTTGCGAATGCCCCTAGCTCTGCCTGTACTGTGATCTATCTATATACCTGCATGCTTGCACTTGTTAGGGTATGATCACTGTATTGTTTGTTCTCTTTATATAACTCTGCATGTGAACTGGCCTTGTGGCCCTTTGCTTGTGCTCGGACTGTGTGGTGACTTTGTGATCCACCCTGAGCTTGCTTTGCTTTGCTTCTTCTCTTGACTGGACTTGTGACCATTGCTTGTTCTGGCTATCCCCCACTTCGCCTATGGGGGTGTGTCAAACATATATGCCTAGTTATATCTAGGCTTAGTTTATGTGTTTATAGTTGTCTAGGCTATAGTGGGTTTAGCCTTAGGGGGTACAAAGTTTCTCTCGACATTCTACTTGTACCCCTTCCCTTTTCCTAGTCCACCATTCTCACCTAAGATTCTAACAGTGGTGACTTTGTGACCCATCCTGAGCTTGCTTTATTTGTCTTGACTGGTCTTGTGACCACTTGTTCTCCCCCATTTTGCCTACGGAGGTGCGCCAAAATGTTATAATGCTTATATTGTATAGGCTGTAGTGGGGTAGCCCAGAAGAGGTACAACCCAATCAGGGTTAGTACTTGTACCAACCTTTTGCTCAATGCATTCATTATCGTTTAGTTGTTTCAACAGTTAACACCATGATGAGTTTTTTTCCTTATGCGTTTCGTATATATGATGTATTAGGATGCAACTAGGATTCTCACATGAAACGTTATTTGGGGCTATGTTACGGGTGCAATGAAACGAGATAGCGAGGATTGCACTAGGTGTCAAACGAGTACAAAGTATGAGCGAAGACATGAGCGAATACTTAAGCGAAACATGCAACGGTTACGCGGTGCGTGCGAGCTAGCTAGTGCTAGGCTGTCATTGAGGTTTGGGCTGGTCGTGAAGCGTAGGCCGACTCGGCTAGGCCAACTGTGCATGGTTTGGTAAAATAGTGTGCGCGAAGTTGGCGAAGCCCCGTTAGCAGTAACGGGTGAACAACGGCTGCTGCTGTACGCCATGTTGATGGTCGCGGTAAGTAATGTAGAGAAAATTCCTTAGAGGCTACGAGTTTAGGTTTAAGTCTACATTTCTTGGTCCCAATGACGATTGCAGAAGTTTTGTGCACCTACTGCCCGTGTCGATTGCGGAAGGCAACCACGTGGCCAAGTGGTTGCCGAGATTCAATAGCGCAGCCAATGACGAGGAGGCATCAGGCACCTGCTCGCTGTATACCTAGTCCGCGGTATTTTAACCGCCGCTATCTTAACCGCGCGAGAGTACTCCTCCTTGGTCAGACTTGTTTAAACGAGTAGTTTTAAAATTAATGAGAGTATAATCTAACATTCCCTTCGCGAGATAACGGCAGTTAAAACACTGCCAATGCCGATATTCCCCCTATCTCGGAGCACTAAGTGTGCTTTTCTTCAGACGGAAAAGCATCCGGCTGTAAAATAATAGCCTTGAAGTCTTTGGGTGCCCATCTCATTACCCGAAAACAAATAAAGGGTGTTTGAAACAAAACAGTTCACGTGGTTAAAATACCGCGGACTAGGTGTAAAAAGGCATCGACGCTGTAATCTGTTTCTCAAACGAGACAGCTCCACCATGGATTCCTTCTCCCCTGCGGGTTGTGTGTGCGTCAGTCACGTTGGAGAGGCACACTGCCCTCCACTTGATGGATTTCTCTCATCACTTTTCGACTTCTCCGGCAAGAGAGAAAGAACCGCCAAATGTCAAAGCTGTCTGGAAGTTGGGTGTGAGGGGAGTCTGGGAAAAGTGATGTTAATGTTGCGGCAGCACACACAGTGATGTGCTACAGACAGATCGGCTCGCGAATCTTCTCCCGTGAGTCACGAGTCGTGACGTGGTACACCACGACAACATCATGCCAATGATTTCCAGAGCAGTCCGTGCTGCTGGAAGCGACGCCCATCACCGATTCACCGCCTTCGTCCCTCCCAATGCATACCAGCCAATAGACATGGCATTTCGATTGAAGCAAGGGCGCAAGCATGCGGCGGAAAGACGAGAGAAATTCACGAGTAATGTACAGAGGACAGGGATACTTACCCGATTGGCAGTGCAGCAAAGATGCTTCGTTGCCACGACTTACTGAAAGACCTGAATAACGCGGTGGAAGCGTTACTGCTTGCACTACCGCGCTTGGCTCATTCACTTCACCCCACCACCACCACCAGCCCGCTCTCTGCACTAGTGCGTCAGCAATCCCTACGTGACTGACTGACTGACTGACTGCTCACCCCCACATGCTCATCGACATCGTCGCCGACTCGCGTGCTGCATACCTCGTCCGTACCGTTCCCGTTTCATGCGGCAGTGAGTAAGAGCCCGCACGTCTCTCTCTTACTACCACCATGTCAGCGCACCAAGCCAAGGTGTCCGCAGCTTGTTCCTTATTTATCCATGGCACGTCTTCCCATGCGAGCGAGCGCTGCCAACCAGAAGCAGCAGGTAGTTCTTCCTTATTATTAGTAGCCGTGTCGCCAGTTCCACTGGAACGTAGTGGAAATGAATGCGAGTCGCCCGCGGAAAGAAACGAGTGTCATTCCCAAGGCCACGAGCGCCACGAGCTCCACGAATCACAGTCGGAGATTGGAGCCACGTCGGCAAGTCGGAGATTGCAACCAGTCAGCAGCACAACTGACCTTGTCAGTGGCGGCACACTTGACCTAATTAACAGCGCCGGCTGCTGCGGCGGCGAAGAGGCGACGCCCCCATTCTGTACCGACTCAGCAACCAACTCACTAAAAGTTAAGGCGAAGAATATTTCACCAGATCCTATTCTTTCAACAGATCCGGCGGCAATAGTGACGAGCACTGCTCATCCTGAGCCACACCCTTCCGCGTCACAGGATAACAGCTTTCCACTTCTTAATCACAAAGAGTATGACGAAGCCGTCCGGCGAGTGCTGACGAACCCCTTTGATCCGGACGAATATATTCTGCCGAATCCGCGCTCTCCGCTCCTCCCGGAACACCTGTCGCTGCGCCACGACGCGCAACAACCGCCTTTGATCGTGTCCCGACTCGGAGTCGACTCTGCTGTCGTCACCGCGCCTAATACTGCCACCGCCGCAAGCCCCGCCGTTGCTCCGGCCGAGGGGAACGGTACAAGCGCGGCCGCTGCGGCGGCGGCGTGTTTTGCGGGGATAAGCACGAAATCTGATTCGGCGGAACCCGTAGTGGTTGCGGAACCTGCAGAGCTTGCAGAACCCGCAGCGGAACCTGCAGAGCTTGCGGGTGCAGAACCCGCAGTGCTCGCGGAGCCTGCGCCGCGGAAGAACGCGCCGGGGATGCAGTTCCAGGTGGTGCCGCATGGCGCGCGCCCCCTGGCGACGGCGGAGGCGTTGTGCGCAATGACGCGCGCGGAGCTAGTGGCGGAACTGCGGAGCCTGCAGGCGGACCACGAGAAGTACCGGCAGGAAGGTATGGTGTGGTTCTGACTCATGCATGGTAGGTGATGGGCAGGTAAAGTCTCCTACCGTCTGTATGCAGTCCGCATATTTCCCCTCTCTCCCCTGAAATCCATTCCCCCTCTCGAATATTTTCTCCCCTGTCACCCCGTCTCTTTCCCCATCTCCATCCCTCATCACCCACCAACTCCCCCCCATCTCCCTCCCAAATCTCCTCCGTCTCCTCCGTCTCCCCCCCATCTCCCTCCCTGTGGCAGTGGCGTTCCAGAAGGATCTGCTGGCGTCGGTGGGGCAGTCCGTCATCTGCACGGACCTCGCAGGCACCATCACCTACTGGTGAGTTTTGAAGCATGGCCGACAGTACAGCACAGCTGACAGCACCGCGCAGCCGACAGCACCGCGCAGCCGACAGCACCGCGCAGCCGACAGCACCGCGCAGCTGACAGCGCAGCACATCAGTACGGATCCGATCTTCATCCCTCTCATCACCCTGCCCCTATCCCTTTCACCTCTTCCACGCTCCCCCTCAACCGCACTCCCCAGGAACAAGGCAGCGCAGGCGATGTATGGGTGGCGGGAGGAGGAGGCGGTGGGGCGGAGCATAATTGAGATCACCCCCGCAGACACCACGGTGCAGCAGGCGGGCGAGATCTTCGCCGCTCTCACCCCCGTTCACCTCTCCCCTTTCGTCCCTCCTCCTTCACCTATCTACTTTACCTTTTCCCTTAAGTCAAGTCTTACCCTTCCCACCACCCCCCCCCACATCCCCCCCCACACCTCTCCCTCCCAGGAACAAAGCGGCAGAAGCGATGTATGGGTGGCGGGAGGAGGAGGCGGTGGGGCGGAGCATAATTGAGATCACCCCCGCCGACACCACGGTGCAGCAGGCGGGCGAGATCTTCGCCGCTCTCACCCCCGTTCACCTCTCCCCTTTCGTCCCTCCTCCTTCACCTATCTACTTTACCTTTTCCCTTAAGTCAAGTCTTACCCTTCCCACCACCCCCCCCCACATCCCCCCCCACACCTCTCCCTCCCAGGAACAAAGCGGCAGAAGCGATGTATGGGTGGCGGGAGGAGGAGGCGGTGGGGCGGAGCATAATTGAGATCACCCCCGCCGACACCACGGTGCAGCAGGCGGGCGAGATCTTCGCCGCTCTCACCCCCGTTCACCTCTCCCCTTTCGTCCCTCCTCCTTCACCTATCTACTTTACCTTTTCCCTTAAGTCAAGTCTTACCCTTCCCACCACCCCCCCCCACATCCCCCCCCACACCTCTCCCTCCCAGGAACAAAGCGGCAGAAGCGATGTATGGGTGGCGGGAGGAGGAGGCGGTGGGGCGGAGCATAATTGAGATCACCCCCGCCGACACCACGGTGCAGCAGGCAGGGGAGATCTTCGCCGCTCTCACCCGCGGAGACGTGTGGCGCGGCGAGTTCCTCGTGCGGTGCCGCGACGGCTCGCCCTTCCACGCCATGGTCACGGACACACCCATTCTCGACCCAGAAGGAAAACTCGTGGGCGTGATCGGCGTCTCAGCAGACATCAGCGACTTGAAGCGCAAGGAAGGCGAGATCCGAGCTCTCAACGCGGCCCTAGAGCAGAGAGTGGAGGAGCGCA